TGACGGGGTAATCATGATAATAAAAATAATCATGGTAATAGAAACGATCGTGATAATGAAAGTAATTATGATAATAAAGGTAGTCATGGCAATAAAAGCGATCATGATAATCATTATCATGATATTTTCCGTATGATCTAGGAGCTCATGCCAAAAATAGTTTTCTTCATGCTACTAGTTTGTTTTAAACCAAAAATTCATTTAAGGATTGCTTTGATGGCGGCAAACATCAAAGGTGGGAATAGTGCCGTTGTACAAAGACAACAGAATCCTGGAGCAGCATTGGGTGCTAGCATTATGGAATCCATCAAGCAACTTTCAGAATTTGTAAAAAGTTAGTATTTTTGCTTGCCAGAATTTTTTGCTTTTGTCATTTTGATATATTGAAATTGAAATAAAAATATTTTAATTTTGGAAAAGAAAAAAAGCTGGTGGTGTTAAGAAATTAATAAAAACTTGAAATGTAATGTAAAATATTTTATAATATTAAGAAATGTTTCGTTGCATTAAGTCGTATACATTTCTTACCATTACCACAATTGGACCTCGTTAGCACGACAACTAGTATAATTTGTATGAATTTGATAATTAATATGAATTTGAGTTTAATTTAAATAGTTAGCATGAAGGGGCGGGACTAAGTGTCATGTCTAAAAAGACATTTTACGATTAAATATCCACGACTTGCAAAAATGACGCAATAGGAAGTAGCATTTGTAAAGGTTACGCTACTGGGAAAAACCAGTCGCTCTACGATTCGTTCATTCGTTTCGATGATAAATTGGTACTGAACGCATACCGAAGAGTCAAACTCGCCATCAGCTTGCTTATAAGCAACCTTCGAAAAAGGGAGCCATCGATAACTTTGTCAGCAAGTGATTTACTGCTGATTTTTGCAACTATCGGATTACTTCAGAATGCTATAGACAGCGATTTGGTAGCAGTCTTGACTTTTAAATATCCATATAACTGAATGAACAGATCCTAGAATTGTCAGATCCTAGAAGGATTGTTTTCCCCATTAGAGTGTCAAAATATAGGCACAGGAATTACATGATATATGTATACACGTATATATGTATGTATGTATGTGTGTATATATGTATGTATATATGTATGTGTATGTGTATGTATATATGTATGTATATGTGTGGATGTGTGTATGTATGTATGTATGTATGTATGTATGTATGTATGTATGTATGTATGTATGTATGTATGTTGTATATGTATGTATGTATGTATGTATGTATGTATGTATGTATGTATGTATGTATGTATGTATGTTTGTTATAATAGGCATATGAAGAAACAGTCGGTGTTTCATCACTTAACTGTAAACGAAGGCAGAACCCTGCCCGCAAATAGGAAATTAAAAATATGAAAGTAAAAGATGAATTACGAGTGAAAAAGACAGAAATTAATTCGCATATTTTTTGTTTTATATTAACGGGCCATTTTTTTTCAAATTTCCGAGTTTCAGGTCTAAACAAAAACAGGAAATCAAATTCGGATTTAATCCGGCTATACGGTATTGTATTTAAACAGGCACTGATAATTCTGACAAGATGCATGGACGATAAGTACTATAATACCAGTACCATTAGCTGCTGCTTAGATTTGATTAACGATGCATTCGAAAAATTGGATAATAAAGTAAGTTTAATATATTTTCTAAATTTTAAATTAATTTTTAATTTTCTCTCCATTTTTCCGGTTTTTTCAAATTTTAATTTTCAAGTTGTAAATTTCCGATTTTTCAAATTCATTTTACTTTTTTTTGCAAAAAATAAGCAGAAATTAAATTTTTTGCAATTTCACTAATCAGCGATGGGAACCGTTTTAGGATTCGATTGATTTTGACCAAGTTTTGTGGATGATAAACGATAGATGCGTTATGATTGCGGATAAAAAAACCATTAACGTCATATTGATGGAAAAAATCGTCAAATATAATACACGTTTTATCAGTTTTATGCTCACCGATATAGTGCGCAGAAAAGGTTTTCTATTTTTTACGGAGGTTTTTTCTGAATTTCTAATTGTATAATTAAGATTTTTGATTTTTAAAGATAGAAAGAAGTGAAAAAACTATGACAAAA